TATTACCCAATGTTATATGCCTCGGTTATGCACAGTAAACATGTGATTGTATAGAATGAAATGGAAATAAAAAGACTTGTGGACAAAATGTAATCTACCTGTATGGAGACAGAAATACAGAGGGCAGGAGACGTGGACCTGCAACAGGTTGTTATCTCCAACTCACCACAGGTTAACTCACCACAGGGCAACTTGCCATGGGGACAAAAGGCACACTAATATCAAGAAATTGGTGGAATAGAATCGTTAAGGTAGGAATGCGAAAGGAGGGACAAAATGAAAAATGAATGACAAAAATCAAAGCAGTTTTTAAATTATTTCAAATACCTGAATTTGGATTGTTGAATTGTCCTGTGGTGTGTTGGCCACAGTGAATTGTCCCCTGGTGAGTCAGCCATGGGACGTTGTCCCATTCCGTGGACAAGTAGCACAGAATGCCTTCATCCCTTCGATTCAACTTCAACCTGCCCTAGCTCTGTCAAATCGACGGAGAGAAGTTGAGTTTTAGATGTTCTTCTCGTGTTCTTTGGACGTTCTTCTCCATGTTCTCCTGATGTTGTTGCATGTTTTGACAGAACCCAAAGGAAATGTTCATTGTTTTGATGTATCAAGTGGAGTGGGAAGAAGTTAAACAAATCATACAAGCTATTAACTCTGGCATTTGCTTGCCATCTATTTAACTGAAGGAGACAAGCTTGCAGTTTGAATGTGCAATACTTAATATATTGCATCAGCCCGTTTCTTCCTGAGATATTTGTTTAAAGGTGACTGTGTTTGCATTTCAAGCTCAACGTATAGTTTCTTTCCTGTCACAGATAGTCACATTATTTATCATTTTATTTAATTTCATAGCTGGCTACAGACTGGAGTGTATTAATAATAAAATTTTGATACGGCACTGAATATTAATGCTTTCCATTAAGAGCTGTCTGAATTGAAGTTCCCCTTTTTCCTTCACTTTTCTTTTCATATTATTTTTAATTTAAATGGAATTTCTTTGCGGGGAAGCACGATGCGATAAATCATACTCATAAAATTGTGGTTTCGCATTTTGAAAGGGTTGGATTTTTTTTTAAAAAAATGTAGACAGATGAATTATCTTTTTTTCCCCTCCTCTCTTTCTTCATGTAAGTTGTTGTTGTTGTACTTAAAAAGAATAATTTGTTTCCATGTGTATCTTTCATTCCTTTGAACTTGTAATAGATTGCTTGAATATGTTTCCGTAAATAAAACTGTAGCACGCCTTTTATATATTTATGTATTTATTTATTTTTATTTTTTTCTTTTTAAAACAACTTTCAGCTCTTTGATGGCATTGAATGCGAATTTCCGGTGTTTTTTATTTTTATGATGATTGATGGTAAGTATGATTTTGTGTACTTATTGTGTTGGGGAAGAGGGTTGGAATGTGCAGAAATAAATGGATGGATGTGTTTGTGTGTGTGTGTGTGTGTGTGTGTGTGTGTAGATACGCATATATATGCAAACCAAGAGATAGATTGTAATTGTTTATGCCAAATTTTCAGTAATAATGCTGCAGGTAGGTAAGTAAAATGAATTTAGTTATGCGGTTGAGA